TGCCCTTGCTGATGGAAGGAGGTTTTCACTAAAATCTCACGATACATGGCCCCATTCATTCTTTCCTTTACACGGATCAGTCGTCCTGGTCCCTTTGCAGAAAAACAGCCCCAAAGCATGATGTTTCCACCCCCATGCTTCACAGTAGGTATGGTGTTCTTTGGATGCAACTCAGCATTCTTTGTCCTCCAAACACGACGAGTTGAGTTTTTACCAAAAAGTTATATTTTGGTTTCATCTGACCAAATGACATTCTCCCAATCCTCTTCTGGATCATCCAAATGCACTCTAGCAAACTTCAGACGGGCCTGAACATGTACTGGCTTAAGCAGGGGGACACGTCTGGCACTGCAGGATTTGAGTCCCTGGTGGCGTAGTGTGTTACTGATGGTAGGCTTTGTTACTTTGGTCCCAGCTCTCTGCAGGTCATTCAATAGGTCCCCCCGTGTGGTTCTGGGATTTTTGCTCACCGTTCTTGTGATCATTTTGACCCCACAGGGTGAGATCTTGCGTGGAGCCCCAGATCGAGGGAGATTATCAGTGGTCTTGTATGTCTTCCATTTCCTAATAATTGCTCCCACAGTTGATTTCTTCAAACCAAGCTGCTTACCAATTGCAGATTCAGTCTTCCCAGCCTGGTGCAGGTCTACAATTTAGTTTTTGGTGTCCTTTGACAGCTCTTTGGTCTTGGCCATAGTGGAGTTTGGAGTGTGACTGTTTGAGGTTGTGGACAGGTGTCTTTTATACTGATAACAAGTTCAAACAGGTGCCATTAATACAGGTAACGAGTGGACGACAGGGGAGCCTCTTAAAGAAGAAGTTACAGGTCTGTGAGAGCCAGAAATCTTGCTTGTTTGTAGGTGACCAAATACTTATTTTCCACCATAATTTGCAAATAAATTCATTAAAAATTCTACAATGTAATTTTCTGGATTTTTTTTTCTCAATTTGTCTGTCATAGTTGACGTGTACCTATGATGAAAATTACAGACCTCACTCATCTTTTTAAGTGGGAGAACTTGCACAATTGGTGGCTGACTAAATACTTTTTTTCCCCACTGTAGGTATTCAGACACTTTGCTATGAGACTCAGAATTGAGTTCAGGCGCATCCTGTTTCCATTTATCATCCTTGAGATGTTTCTACAACTTGATTGGAGTTCACCTGTGGTACATTCAATTGATTGGACATGATTTGGAAAGGCACACACCTGTCTATATAAGGTCCCACAGTTGGCAAGTGCATGTCAGAGCAAAAACCAAGCCATGAGGTTGAAGGAATTGTCCGTAGAGCTCCGAGACAAGATTGTGTCAAGGCACAGCTCTGGGGAAGGGTACCAAAACATTTGTGGAGCATTGAAGGTCCCAAAGAATACAGTCGCCTCCATCATTCTTAAATGGAAGACATTTGGAACCACCAAGACTCTTCCTAGAGCTGGCCGCCCAGCCAAACTGAGCAATCGGGGAAGAAGGGCCTTGGTCAGGGAGGTGAACAAGAACCCAATGGTCACTCTGACAGAGCTCCAGAGTTCCTCTGTGGAAATGGGAGAACCTTCCAGAAGGACAACCATCACTGCAGCACTCCACCTATTAGGCCTTTATGGTGGAGTGGCCAGACGGAAGCCACTCCTCAGTAAAAGGCACATGGACTCTCAGACCATGAGGACTCTCAGACCATGAGAAACAAGATTCTCTGGTCTGATGAACCCAAGTTTGACATTTTGGCCTGAATGCCAAGTGTCAAGTCTGGAGTAAACCTGGCACCATCCCTATGGTGAAGCGTGGTGGCAGCATCATGCTGTGGGGATGTTTTTTAGCGGCAGGGACTGGGAGACTAGTCAGGATTGAGGGAAAGATAAACAGAGCAAAGTACAGATAGATCCTTGATGAACCTGCTCCAGAGTGCTCAGGACCTCAGACTGGGGTGAAAGTTCACCTTCCAACAGCACAATGACCCTAAGCGCACATCCAAGACAATGCTGGAGTGGCTTCGGGACAAGTCTCTGAATGTCCTTGAGTGGCCCAGCCAGAGCCCGTTGCCAAAGGTGCTACCACATATTACTAAGTAAACGGTCGGAATACTTATGTAAATGTGATATTTCCGTTTTTTAGTTTTAATAAATCTGCAAAAATTTATATAAACCTGTTTTTGCTTCGTCATTATGGGGTATTGTGTGTAGATTGATGAAGGGGAAAAAAATATTTCATCCATTTTAGAGTAAGGCTGTAACGTAACAAAGTGGAAAAAGAGAAAGGGTCTGAATACTTTTCGAATGCACTGGACATCCCAGGCATCAACTGTATTTGCCCAAGCTTTATTTATCACGGCCATTGATCGCTCTATACGATTAATATCTTGAAAATATGATAACCAAGTTTGAGGTGAGAGGATTGTAGGAGAAATCCAAGCACTAAGGATAACCTTTTTTGCTGCTGTTAACCCCGGATAAATGAACCAGTTGCAATACAAATGAATAGTCATCATTCAATAAAAATAAAGGTGGATCTTTGTTCACAGGGAAACCCATAATTTTTGTAAGGAAATCTGAAATGTGACTAGAACTGGGACACCATAGGACATTCCCAAAACGTTAGTGTTCCAACAGCATTCATACGCCATCTATCACACATTGGAGTAGGAATCAGCTTCATCTTAAAACATCTAAATGGGGTTGCAAAACTTCTATGTAGAAGCTTATAATGTATAAACTGGTGTGCTGGGTTTTTGGAGGTAACAAATACATTTTCCCAAATGGTATCCCTGCATTTTGCAGTTCCATACTAGAGTGAAACCCAATGTAGTGCATTTAGCAGGCAATTATAAGTGGCAGAGACCATTTTAGAAGTTAATGAAGGGTCAATCCATATAAGCATTATGTGGCATGTTAACGGGGCATCCCATGGTACACCATAAGCTTTAAACGAAGATATTAACTGTAGGTAAAGGGACCATGAAAAGCCTGGAAGTGAATACATTTGTTTGAGGTCCTGGAAAGGTATTAGCCCCTTATCATTATGCATGTCTCACAAGGTATGGACACCCTTATCCGCCCACAAAGGGTACACAAAAGGCTTACTATTTGTCAGCAGGTTATGGTTATGCTATATAGGAGAAGATTCACAGAACTTCTTAGTGTTGCCTATATGTTTCTCAGCGTAGTACCATACTTGTAGAGAGTTGGAAATAATTGAACCACATTTGTTGAATGCTGTTCATCCCTTAATACCGGAGAAAACTAGATCTGGAAGTCTATGCGGTGCAACAAGTGCTTCCTCTATGCCTCTCCAAGAAGCTGCAATAGAATCATCGGACCATACTCTCAAGTATTTTATTTGGAAAGACCAGTAATATAATTTGTAATCTGGAAAAGATAATCTTCCTGTTCCCTTTAACCACGTAATATAGTTCAATCTTGGTTTCATCAGACCACAGAATCTTGTTTCTCATGCTCAGAGTCCTTTAGGTGCCTTTTGGCAAACTCCAAGCGGGCTGTCATGTGCCTTTTACTGAGGAGTGGCTTCCGTCTGGCCACTATACCATAAAGGCCTGATTGGTGGAGTGCTGCAGTGATGGTTGTCCTTCTGGAAGGTTCTCTCATCTCCACAGAGGAACTCTGGAGCTCTGTCAGTGACCATCGGGTTCTTGGGCACCTCCCTGACCAAGGCCCTTCTCCCCGGATTGCTCAGTTTGGACGGGCGGCTAGCTCTAGGAAGAGTCTTGGTGGTTCCAAATGTCTACAATTTAAGAATGATGGAGGCCACTGTGTTCTTGGGGACCTTCAATGCTGCAGACATTGTTTGGTACCCTTCCCCAGATCTGTGCCTCAACACAATCCTGTCTCGGAACTCTACGGACATTTCCTTCGATCTCATGGCTTGGTTTTTGCACTGTCAACTATGGGACCTTATATAGACAGTTGTGTGCCTTTCCAAATCATGTCCAATCAATTGAATTTACCACAGGTGGACTCCAGTCAAGTTGTAGAAACATCTCAATCGATGATCAATGGAAACAGGATGCACCGGAGCTCAATTTCGAGTCTCATAGCAAAGGGTCTGAATACTTATGTATTTCTGTTTTTACACTATTTCTCGCTTTGTAATTATGGGGTATTGTGTGTAGATTGAGGGGGATAAAATACTTTAATCAACTTTAGAATAAGACTGTAATGTAACAAAATGTTGAAAAAGGGAAGGGGTCTGAATACTTTTTGAATGCACTGTATACACATATAAACAATTGTTGAAATGTACTATCATACATTTAGGCTATGCATTCCAGATAGCCTATACATAATCCAAATTATATGCAGAATACAGTAAGACGCAGGGTTCAATTCAGTTTGCATATTGCACATTGATTTTAGCAGCACAACTCTGGCAAAATAAATGTAAGGTATAGTATATTGAATGACGAATACATTTATTTAGTTCTTTTTTATGATCTATGTATTATGTTCCATTTAGATAGAAACCCTGAATATGATATGAACACATTTTTTCACACAATGATACACACTGGTTATGCACACACTTTCAGCATTAACAGATCTTAGATGAATAAACGTTTCGTGGCGAGCACAGAATGCTGCAGTCTACAGTGAATGCTACTTCAGCTGACATTGTCCGATAGAATTGGTCTCAAAAGGCAGGAGATTGATCTGGAGTTAGCTTGTTACACAATTTCTAATTAGATTATATAAATGGTTTGGTCGAAGTATGACATTGAGAGTATAACTACATTGCTTAGTGGGCACTTGGTTGTTTTTTGAGCACTTGGTTTCTAATAATTTGCAACAGTTTATGCATACTCGATCTCGACCACAGATGACTCTTCAGAATACGTCCGGTGAGCAAAGGTCTATGCCATTCTCATCAACTACAGAGCTTAACCCATTCCTCTTGCGTTCCTGCATCTTAATCGTGTCGTAGAGACCTTGGGGCCATCCTCCAGTAGCATGCCTCTCTCTGAGTTTGAAGGTTTCATTTGGCACACATTCTTTAGTAAGAGGAGCGCCAGTGCGAAAGCACGTTGGCAAGGCCCATGCCCAGGTTAAGCTGAACAAAGTCGTGGACTATCTGTCCGGCCACCACAGGGCCCAGGGCATAGGCCACGCAGTACATGTCCGCGATGGCATATACACTGCCGTACACGGACACATGACGCACGTCCACCAGGAATGCGAGCGTGGTCAGTAGGGCTGTGTCCACCAGGGTGATGCCAAAGCAGATGCCGCACAACGGGCCCATCAGCTGGCCAAAGGTTTTACAAGCTGTTACGGTGCACGAACTGGCACCTATGATCACCATGCCCAAGGCCGTGTAGAACCACTGCAGGTGTGGGTACTTGGTTGAGAGTTTGACAGTGATGTACACACTCAGGACGTGCGGGAAGAAGGCATGGAGCCAAGTGAGGCCGATCTTCCATTGGGAGGAGTGCATGGTTTCTTCCATCCAGTTGGCAATGGTGGACTCCAGGAAGGCCCGTGGAATATTACAGGTGGTCAGGGTGCCCGCCACCACAGCTATGCAGGGGTTGACCATCAGTTTGTAAATTGGGGTGCCCAGGGGCATGTTTTCTCTCAGATTTAGCACGGCATGCCATTCATAGATTCATAGAATTACAATACATTTTAAAATCATCAGACACCAGCTTTAACCAACACCAGTTGAGATCACCAATCAAGATAATTTCATTGTAAAGAAGTTTAGACATAAGGTGCATCAGAGAAGAAAATGCATCACCGAGAGCAGAGGGGGGTCTATTACAGCCAATCACAGTTTTAGACAACCTTTGAAACCTCAAGATTCAAAGCAAGAAATTCCAACTGTTTACAAATAGTTTGACTTTGCCACACTTACAAGGAATTTAGTCTTTACAGCCACACCCCCACCTTTCTAAACTTGATCAGCGCGATACACATTACAACCATTTATACAAATATCCTTATCAAGAACAGACATGCTGAACCAGGTTTCAGAAAACACAATTACATCAGCATCAGTTGATTTAGCCCAAATCCTAACCCCATCAATTTTAGACAACATTTAAAAGAAAAATACCAAAAACAGATCTAGATTTAAAAAGAGGGGGTTTGGAGTCATTGCATTTCAGGGCCAGGGTTAGGTTGCACGTTACCTGATATCAACAAAAGAAGAATAACTAGGCACCTCTAATAACCTTGCATGGCATCTCTTTTTTTGTGCAGCTCCCCCCAAAGTTTCCCCAAAATTGCAGCTGTAATTAAGATTGACTGCAGTCTACTAACTGTAACCCATTTTAACACTGGATTCTCTTATCTCATTGGCTTGCAATTGTGTAAAGTTTTGCCTTTCACATTTTCACATGAATTGACACCAATGAGACCTGTTTCATGTTGTTTAAAAGAAATGCCCTATGAGTCATATAGATGTCCCTTCATGTTTGTTTCTCTGCAGCCCCTCTGAGCTCTGTGGTGCTTAAGATTAATGGACATACACAGCACCAAGTTCAGTGGAAGGGTGAAGCTGCCATCAGTAGGTAAAGTTGTGTAGGCGGCTGTGTCCACTGCTGACCGTGGTACACTCAGAGGAAGAGCATTGACAACATCTAGTGGTGTAATGATGGACTGCATAATGATGCTGAATCGCCTCTGCTCAGCAATGCATGTGTAGTCTATTGTGTGAATAAATTTGGTTTTAGAATAGATGGCTGTTTTTTAAGCTTTGAGATACATAAGACTTTAATGTATTGTAATCATCTTATGATCTTGGCTAAATACCAGTAATTTTGAGACTGATGTTTGTACATTGAGAAACAGAACATATAAGCCTGTCCTATTATAAAATATTATAAAAGCTCATGCTTAAAACAAGTTAAAAAGCATACCTCTACAGGGTTTAAGTAAAGTGTTTCCATGAGGTAATCTAACCTGCATAGTGATGTCCAATGTCTTTTTTAAAGAAGTGGCATTGACCTAATGTATTACTTTTCCGAATTCCTATACCAGGAAGCATGAAGGAGGGCAATAACTATTCAAAACTCAGTGTAGGATGAAATTGCCCCTATACACAGATTTTGGGTTAGTTTAGCATTTTCCCTACCAATGGTTAAGATTAGGATTGGGGGAGGGGAAGCTGATCGTAGATCTGTTCCCAGGGGAAACTTAATTCCAAAGCTCAAAACTGTGTGCATAGGCTACTTGTTTCTGGAAGATTTCACTATGCCTTCTGTTTCCACATTTAGCACTCCCTCCCTTTGAGATTGATCTTATAGTGAAAGCAGTGAAGGCAGTTTGGAAGTTGCTACTCTCCGCATCTCTTGACTGAAAATGATCACTAAATCTTGCAATGTCCCTGATCTGGGGCCATATCAATATGTATCAAGCATCTCAGAGTAACAATGCTGATCTAAGATCAGGTCCCACCTGCCTGTGTAAACTTATTGAATGTGATCTAAAAGGCACAACTGATCATAAATCAGCACTCTTCCTCTGATACGCTTGATACATGTGGCCCCTTGCTTTTTGAGTCAACATTTCCCACAATTTTGCCACTAGATGTCCCCATAGACATTCCCATTTGTATATGAATAAAACTTTCATGAAGCGAATCTCTCGTGGACAGAGTGGCGTATAAACAGCGAGAATCTGTCAAGATGTCATGACTCGCGTAGAATTATGTGATTATGAGCAGCATTAGTTCCTGGTTTAGCTTTTCTGCATTGATTATTTGGACGAATCAGGATTAGGTGAGGGTGATGCTTATACTCGGGGCGGTGATTTCAAGCCCTGTACGCAGTAGTTATTGTACCCCCGGGGAAACACTAAATGCCATGTTTCACATTAGCACCAGCCAAACAATAATGTGTAGTGCATATATGTATCAATATGATATGTTACCTAGTTATTTTATTCGAGAAAATTGATGCTGCTGTGCCGGTGAACAGCTTTGGAACACTGAGCCATTGACTGCACCAGGTGGATGTGTAATGAGTGGGTTGCTTTTTGACAATAAGGCACCGGACTGTCTACAGCCATAAAGTTTTGAACCTAGAAGAAGACCGAGAGACGGGAGTAGGCAAGAAGCACTCGACTGGGATTGGCAAGAAGAATGTTGAGTTGTCCGGAAAAGCATGGTAATCTAACGTTACTGAGTGAGTATCAAGCTAGCTACAGTAGTTTGTTAGTGTCATTGATATATGGAAATTCACTTATATTCAGTTCATAAGCATTGACTCTAATACCTCCAGGGTCCTGTGGTGAAACGACTGCTGTGCAAGGTATTGGGCAACAGCTTAATTCCAGGGCCCGTATTCACAAAGTGTCTTCAGAGTAGGAATAGTGATCTAGGACCAGCTCCCCCTTGTCAATGTAATCATATTCATTGTGATCTAAAAGATACAACTGATCCTAAATCAGTCTGAGGTGAAATCAACTCAGATTGATGGTGGGAATTAACGTTAGCTAGCTTTCTCACAGCAGTTTTAATATAATGAACTAGTTAATGGCATTCTCAACTTCATCAATCCGATGGATAGCTAGCAAATATGTGTTTGCTGCCTGATACAGCTGGCCAGTTGATAGTAAAGTAGGATGAATGCCAATGGCTAGACAGCAGTTGGTCTGAAATGTATACTTACCAGTGAACAGTGTACACTTCGTCCACTGACAGTCCTATCAACCGTTTGCTGAACACGGTTGTTTAAATACATTTTCTCCATCTACGCTTGATATATTAAACCAGGGTTTCCCAAACTCGGTCCTCGGGACCCCAAGGGGTGCACACTTTGGTTTTTGCCCTAGCACAACACAAATGATTCAAATAATCAACTAATCATCACGCTTTGATAATTTGAATCAGCTGTGTAGTGTTAGGGCAAAAACTAAAAGGTGCACCCCTTGAGGTCCTGAGGACCAAGTTTGGGAAACGCTGTTTAAACTTTTGCCATAGCCACTTGGCAAGCATGCTAAAATGTCCCCTTTGCCACTCAAACATTTTGCTGTGGCTTAAATGACGGGATGGAATGGACACTCTACGATTTGAAATAGCTGTGTTGAAAACGTCCTCACTCACATCTTCCATGTTTACTGCTTCGCGCGTGTCCACACGGATCATAAACACAGGTGAAATTAGCGGAAGGGATTTGGCAGAGAGTTTCCTTTTTCGAAGGAGGAGACTTCACTTCCTTCCTTCACACAATGGAAATCACAATTTCACAACACATATCCCCCCAGAAGTTAAACGGGAAGTGAGAACTTTGCGAGAATTTTTATTCTGGGTAACAGAGATTACAAGCCTCTACAACACAATCTGTAAAATGTAATTTAATGATATAGCCATTGTTTTTTGGTGTTTTATAAAAAATCGTATGAGTTTAAGGGCCTTGCCCTATCTTAACCCCAGATCTTAGGTTGTATTACTGTGGTTTTGTTGTCACTTGAGTCTTTGTAAACAAACCATTTTGTTGTTTTGTTAAACTATGTTATGTTGAACGGTCCGTTCATGGCCCAAACTATGGATTTGATAGTGTTAACATTTCATCATCCTTATCCAAAAACGTACCAAACCAGAAAGTGTCAGTTTAATAAGCAAAATTTGAATATCCAATAGTATAACATTATTCTAAAAATAACCATGACTTTATGTGGGAAAACATTATGTAAGCCCTTGACTTCCAAAAAAAGGCATCAAGGCTTCATTATCACCCCTAATCTCTCTCTCGCTCTCTCGATCTCTCTCTCTCTCTCTCTCTTCCCACGCTCAACATCCTAACTGTCTTTCCTCTGTTCTTCTTATCCAGGGGAAATATTTTGTTTTTAATTCTATGTCCTGGCTGTATGAGGGAGGGTGGAGCTCAGCCCAGTCGCTATAACTGGATTGGCTGCATCAGGGGATCAACATTTTTGCTGTTTTTCCTGCAATTCGGCTCTGATCAGATTTGAAACCAAGTTTCGCAGATGTAGGATCACCATGTAATCTTGTACGCTCGCCAAAGTATTAATTTCTGACGGCCATACGAAATCCCATGCCAGTGCAGCCCAAACCTCTCAGCCCAAAGCAGAATTAATAGCTTCAATTACTATAGAATATGAGCTATGTTTTTATGTGAATTCACATTTGTAGAAAAACTGTGACACTCAAAGTACTATGACTACTACTTCTACAACGACTACTCACTTTATATGTATATTAAAAACAAAAAAACTTTGTTTTAAGTGAGAAGTAGGCATTGGTCTGAAGAAAGGAAATTCACGTGAGCACCACAATGTGTATTTCACCCATGCTCTACCAATGTTTTCCAGCAAACAGCTTTGACCTACTACAGTAGCTATGTTGGTCTATTGTACTTTCAACAATGTGTAGGCAGGTTGATTTGATTATGATTCAAACCTTCTCAAACAGCCTAATTCATACTTTTGGAGGAGGTTCTCCCACAATAATGTGATTTGTACTGCATACAAGGTAATGTATTGCGTGCTTCCCACCCCACACTAAGACATTACCCCATTCCACTACCTTTTCAAGCTTATTTTTATTATATGAAAGTAAGCTTTGCTTTTATA